CAGAAAATAGTTAGGTAACCTTATTTGGGAAATAAGCTCTGTCTAATGACATAATATTTTTTTCCAGGTTTATAAATGTATTCAGGTAACCTCAAGTAAGAAGTAACTTTTGAGCAATACCAGACATTCCTACCAGTTACCATTACTGCCTGATGTGCATTCTAAAATGGGGTTAAAAAAGGACTGGACATGGGGTAAGATGGGACCACCAAATGTTTCAGTTTATCCCACAAGTGGTCCTGTCTTACCACCAAATGGTCCTATCTAGCCTCATAGAAAAAATTATTCAACAGACATGTAGAGGGAGTATTAAAATGAAATTTTTATCTGCTGTGAAAAATAACAAATTTTTATGTTCATAAAGTAACTTTGTGGAGGCCAAAACAAGGCAGTCAACTTGAGTCAAGGGCTCAAGGCTCATATATCATATATGCATAATGCATGCAGTGTTGCTTCATCGCCTTCCTTTTCACAGGAATAAAGAGCTATACATATTAAACAATAACAAACAAAACAATACAATGACAAAAGAAAACAATAACAAGTGGCCCATCTAGCATTTCTAGCTGGACCTGTCATCTGAGACAGCAGAAGGCAGGAGATGCAATTTATAGGCATTGAATATGTGCTGTTTGGCCCGGTATGCCCAAATTTCATATATAAAGTTTTTCAGTTTCCTGACGTAGAGGCAACAGCCATTCTTGAAAAAAAATCAAAGAAAAAAGGTTGTGCCAATATTAGACTAACAACCATGGACTTAGTAATGGATTGACTGAAGGACTTGGCAAATGGTAATGAAATACATATATTTGGTGAAAGAAACAAGGCCTGCCCCTGCAGTAATTATAATAATCTGTAAGCACCATTTTTTTATTTAAAAAGATTAATTTCTTTGTTGTTTCATTATCTAATATGTTTTTAGACGAATAATATTAAATATCAAGTCCTTACTTTGCTTAATAGCCTAGAAATCTTGAAGTTAGAGCCTGGTCCTGTCTTACCCCAACCTGGTCCCATCTTACCCCAGTGGGGTAAGATGGGACGGTGGGACCAGCCCACTTTATTTGCTTTGGACAAAAAAAGGGTTCAATTTCAAAAAGTCTGAGTTGGGGGATAGAAGTTCATTGCACCAACATACCATTTGGCAGGTTCAAGGTTTTTCATTCATTCATGGTATAGCCGTATAGGACTAGTATAGGTGCTGCATGCTTGTTAGTGATTTTGGTCCTGTCTTCCCCCATCTGACTAGCTATACGTACAATTGGGAATCAAGTTGATGGACTAATAAGTATTTTCAGCATTACGTCTATGACAGAACATAAAATTCACTCTTTTGTCACTGCATGCCGCCACCGACTCTCTCAGACTCTCACCGACACCGACGAACAAACAAACGCGCGTGCGGAGGGTACGCAGCCGTGCACCACCAAATTTGTGCACCAATCAGCCCTGAAAGGAACGCCTAGCATATTTCCGGATGACCACCAATCAACCGCGGATTAAGCCAACCGTCGGTAACCAGCCCGTGACATCTTCTTGAGTTAAATATTAGGAGCTTTACGCCACCATATTCTGAAGCGTATAGCCCAGAGAGTAATTGTTATGCACCACTGAACGTTGCTGATTGATGCCGGTTTGGAGGTGAAGAAGAAGTCATGCGTCGACCGCTTGTAACACCTGGACTCAGCAATGATTATTTAAAACATTTCTTCATCTTTCATTTTCAATTTAATTCCTCTTTCCATTGGTGCATGCTCTCCACGTTGTCGTTGGTTATGAGCTCTTGAATTACATTGTTTGCCAGTTCAGAATCTCACAGCTGAACCTTCTTACCTTGCAAAATAAATGCTCCTTTAGCAAGAAATGAAAAAAAAAAATAGTTATGCATGCCAAGATTGAAAAAATTCCTACTTCTTACAAAGCTCCCAAGTGACATTTAAAATAAATTTGGAATCTTGTGGCATGATTATGTACTTCTGTTAACAATTAGATAAGAGGCAATTCACCTAGCAGGAATCTCACAGTTCACAAAATACCTGTAAAGCTCTAGTCACAGCTTGAAATAAACCCTAAATGCCACATTATGAGACTCAAGTTGCCACTCAGTAGAAACTGCACAGCCCTTGCTGATGTCACTAAAACCATATAATACTGGTCAAATGTATGATTTATATGGGTCAACTGCTACATTATAACAAAAAACCGTTTTGATTATGCTAGAAATAATAAAGATGTGGTTCAGTTTTGTTTATAAAATAGATAGCTTTAAATTGAACACCAGCAACTTTAGAGCAGCTGGCAAGGTTATTGGCATTGAAGATAGATACATGTCTGATTGCAGAATTGGTATTTTCCAATTCACAACCTTACTTCAAATATGGGACAGAAGTTTCCAAATTGCAAGTAAACAATTATTTCAGTGGTGATTTATTAAAATTGCAGATAAAAATAGGCTGTTCTTTTCTAGTTTTTCTTGAATACTTGGGATAATGCTATAGCTCATAGGAAAAAGTGAAATTGGCCAGATTCACAGGCATTTTTGTCCAATTCTTGGGCAGCTTCTGCCCAATTTTTCACTTAAGCTTGCTGCTAAAATCTTATGGCTCTAACTTTAAGGAGACAAAATTTTATTACATTTGGATTATTTGGAATGGGACCTAATTGTAAACTTTTATTTACAGATAAGAGGTAATTCATCTAGCGGCTGCCACCCACCAACCAACAGTAATTTTGAGGTTTCAAAATAAGTAGGTTAATGCCCTACAGCTACTGAGCTACAGTCTTATTAGCATTTTAACCCTTTCACAGGCAAGTTACCATATACGGTCACTTGAAATTGGTTGCTTCACAAAGAGACACATGACAGCTACTGGTTTGCTGTTTGAGGCTTCCTTCAGTTAATCACTAATTATCTGACCATCAATCCATTTATAGCATCACCAGTCACACAGTCCACTGTGCAGAGAGTGGATGAATATTGCAAGATCTTTGGCGACGCTTCAGTAGCAAAATTTACACCTTCAGAAGATCTTGCCGACACATTTGGATTGAAATTCTTGCATTTATTATATTTGTCAGTCTTCGGCCAGCTATTAAAAAAAAGTAAGGTTTCTGATATGTTGGATGGATCAGGATGCAGTGAAACTTGTCCGGAAATCAATTGAGATGAGTTCCCGCCAAAAAAATTTTAACATCAAGCTTACGATTACGTAGTTGCGGTCACATTAAAGCGGTCAGACTGCATCATCACATGTTCAGTTGACACTTGCTGTACTGCCTGTACAATTTGACTGTTTTTAGGATAAAATTAGTTATTTGGGGTAACATGTGCATGCAATCTTGTAAGTTGTAAATAAGTTTGTGGCTTGTAAATAGTTTTTCATTACTCAGCGTAAATGGCGTTTCATTAAAAATTACCCGGTGACTCATCTTAAAATTACCCGGCAATCGGCATGCCAGCAACGCTTAGGGCTTAAAAACCCATATATTGGCGACGCTGCATCCACCCTCTGCGCCCTGGGTCACACTGTCACCACCTCCACCTGCCATGCCAAAAAATTAAAATATGAGCATTTAAATGAAAGTTTCAACTAGGACAATAAAATTGACACTCTTTCCACAGGTTTCTAATACTAGTAGCCTAATAGGCAGAAGTATCATATTATCAATATATACCTATTTAATTATTTAAGGTAACTTTATTGAATTAAATTACATTATATTTCTATATTAGGGTAAACGCGGTATATTCCGACACATTAAGGATGCATCGAGAAATGAAAAACTATAAAAAAACGTATGCGTTTTCTCTTCAATTCAATTTTAGAAAAAATTTTGCCTAGTAAGCTGGAGCAAAACTGAAAAATTGGGCAAAAGCCAACCAAAGGAGGGCCTAATCATTAGTCAGCCTTATAGCCTAGGTAATCATGACAACGGACAGCCTGACAGGCATGCCGCATGACAGCCTGACGGGTGACGGCCAACAGGCCACAGATCATGACATGATCTGTGACAGATGGCAGCTTGGCAGGCATTAAATAAATTAATAGTAGCTATTTACCAAATGACCACTATTTTTTCTTCAATTATCAGTAATATTTCTATACTGGCTCATAATATCAAAATTAGGCTTTCAGCAAAATATCATGTATCAGTCAAGGTGTCAATGTTAAATTTTCAATCTTGAGTGCAACTGTAACCAACACTCTTTCTTACTGTATCACTGAGACACCGACTCCGTATCATCTCATTGTCTTAGACCTCACCCTCAGTAGTCTGAGTAGACACAACAGACTGTGAAGTGTGAACAATGGTGAACAGTAACGGTAACCACAAGTCCATAACTCACAAGCGAATTAAAATTAAGTACAGTGCCATCACTGTTGACTGTGGCAACGTATGCGCACTAACGTCTTTACTCTGTCGTTACAAAATCGCCCGAAGTAAACACAACAAAAAGTGTACGCAAGATTCAAGATCCGTAATTTACAATTCGGAATTATTCTGCAACAATTTGATTCAAAACTTAGATTAACAAGTTGATGACTAATGACAATTTAAAATTCGGTCAAAATTGGTGACTGGTACATTTTTTCTGCATGCTTTTTACTTCAGACATTTTCCAGCTATCTATTAAATATTCATCATTCCGCCTAAAATGGGAACAATTATTATATGATGAAGTAAATTTTTTTGACAGAATAATGGGCAATTCTTAGGCTCAATATACTCAGGAATGAAAAACATTTTGAGATTCGTAGATTTTTTAATATCCTCTGCTGTACATTGTAGTGTATTTAGTTGAGCAATGAACTTCAACAAGAACCAACACCAGGGGCCACGGCTATAAGCTAAAAAAAATTGCGCTGCAACTTCTCCACGCGACAAAATTTCTTCTCGCTTCGAATCACCTCACGAGTTTAGATCTATGAACAAGGCACGAAATGGAAAAGAATCGGCGACAGGCCACATCAGGCCTACACTTCAGAGCCGACATCACTATGTTTATGTTATGTTAAAATGATCATCTTCACGCAATCTCTATTGTTGCTATTGATAATTTAAATCGCAAACGCTAGTGGGAGGTAGAAATTATTCCTAAAGTATACTCTTTATTCAAAGAAGCGCACAAGTTTTTAATGAGAGCCCATTGACAGTTATCCAAAACATATCGATTGCTATGAAGACTTGGCTCCGCTGTCCTGATCGAGCGTCTTGATATAAATAGGGCGACTTCTGCTCTGTCGGCGGAGGTTGGCGGAGCCCCAAAGGCGCTGCTGCGTGCGCGTGATTGACTTGGGCGGGAAGTGAACAGGCCGAGGATACGGCATCTGGTAGTGCCGCGCTGAAAAGATACATTTCATTAATATTCTTTTATAGGATAACTATTACGCTGTATTTTAGATTTTACTGAGTATCATGAATACACAAATATAATTCCACAAAAAAAAAACGGGCAGAAAAAAGAATGTAATTTGTAACTGACCTATTTCCAACCTGGCTTCACCTTCTTGAATGCAAAGCCGGATTTTGTTCTCATCCGCAAGGTTTCTATTGGCACTGAAGAGTCTTCGCGCTTCATCTCTAATGTACATCCGTTCCTCTTCCGTATGTATCGGGTTCTGGACATAGTACATATGGGGGTTTACAATACCATAACTGGCAATAGTAAGACAAGTGTACTCATAAATTAGACTGTCTTTTGAATCCTAGTGAAATCAAAATATAATTGTAATGCGTATCAAGTCATCGAGACAGGTACCAACTCAGGGCCCCAATAAAGTACACCTAATTACCATGCTACATTTGGATCATGACAGTCTAAATCGTCAATTGTTGGACAGCACCAATTCCTTCATTTATCGAATTGTAATTCATTATGAGGAGTAGAATTTAAGTGACTGAACACCCCCCGAGAATAGAAAATCGGCGATTTAATTATGAGAGGAAGTTAGCCAGAGGAGTGAGACTGATGCCGGTAAGCCCACCTTAGCCTGCCAAGTTTTGGCGCAGGTGAGGATGCGCTTGTAGAGCGCAAGCACCTGAGGCCGAAGCGCCGGAGAAGCCGTCATTAGTGAAGTTCTTCAGTCCTGGTCATCCTCGTACTATTGTTACTAGCGTGATATAGACACAACTTTTTTTTAATAATAGCTCGTGAGACTTCGTACTTAGTTATGGAATTTGTGTAATGAAGCACTGAGGTATGAATACGCCTGAAGGTATTGGGGTACAATTTTTAAGATATGCTCAATTCACAAGAAAATTAGTGAACTCAATTAAACCTTGAAACGGACGTGACAAAGACTGTCACACTCACGCAGTGTACTGGCAGTTCTGAAAGCTAAGGCACGGGTGAAAAGATGAACAAACACGGAACACATATTTCTCCACACAGTAGTTAAGAAAAACTAAATTGTACGGCCATCGTTTCCGCCGCAATAAAAATATTCCAGTCGCTACGTTAAAGGAACTATCATCGGTAAAGTAAGACTCGGGTCCGGGGGCCAGTCTCGAGCCCCAGACACTGACCATCACCAGGCATGATCATATTTCATGATACACGAGAAGACCATTTGTTATTGCCCAACATTACACCACGAACTCGACTAATTGATCAAAAAGTAGCAACTCGAGGCCGCATTTCGTAACCCTTTGGCCACGACAATATTAACTTTAACCTATGTTATTCCTACCTTGTCATGGTAGAGTTACTGTAAGTAGACAAAGAGCTAAAGAAAGCTCTGCATTAATTTTACGATTTGGAAATAGCGAGACTCACACAACAGGAATTTACGCTCTATCAATTATTAATATCAGAAGAAAAAAGTAAGCATTTTGATAAAGCCGCACACGCTCCAAAGATCTCAACTCTTGCGCTGGTCAGTGCCCCCTGCGGCGTCTCGGTGGAATTTCTCGAATATATATTCCCCTAAAAATAGTCCTGTAAAAAGAAGTCCGTCAATTCTGAAGAGCACTGCAGTAATTACCGCAGAATTCACAACCCAACCCCTATAGTACAAATTCAGTAAAGCAAGGTCAATGAAGCACTGAAATAGAATGTAATTTAATCCGGTATTTTGTAACGGCCCCTACATTAACCCACAGCTATTAGAAAATATAAAGATACTTCAACATGAATAACGTTGTTAACTAAAGGTACTTCACTTATCTTGCGGTGAAGCAACTCGCAAACATCACATGAACACGAATTATTTCTTCATATGCTTCTACTTCGAGCGCCAAGTTTCTGATTACTTACCAAGAAGAGAGCGAGAAGAAATTAAAATTGAAACGATAAATAATTGTTAGACTCTCAGAAATGTGAAAAATTAAATATCTGGTGGCTAATTTGTGAAGATCAACATAATAATTTAACAAATATTGCCAACACCGATAAAGCCATTCACGAGTGAAACAAAATTGAATGAATATTTAACTTCTTAGTCTGAACGTCTGAACTTGTACGTAGAATACTTTAAAGAACCATCAAGTTCACGTTGAAACAAATAAATTAGACAATAAATGTCTTGTAGAGCCTAGTCCAGAGAAAACAAGAGAGACGGTGATAACATACTGAGTATACAAATAGCATATAGAATTCTTATTTAAGGAAGCCATAGCGAATTTATTAGACCAAGAGATTCGAATATGTTTAGCTTTAGAATAAAGAACTATAATGCTACAAGGGAGCTCTAAACCTGTGCAGGAACAAAAAATCAACTGCAAAATCTACATGAAATGTTTATATCGAACCATTCTCCTTCCAGCTGCTCTTTACTTAGGGCAAATGTTTGCAATGAAATTCTGCAAAGAGATCCTAGTATCTCAGGGATATACTAAACCATGATGATTGAGCAGCGGCATCTCCTTCCATAGTCAAGAGTTGGTCGTGTTGCCGCATTGTAGAAAAACGATACTTCATGATACCTGCTAAAATTGAGCAGTTTGTATTAAGTTTACATTAGCATACTACTTTAGAAAACGTACAAAATTGTTGAGTCGATGATGACTCACAAACTAACTGATTAAGAATGACCACAAGGAAACGCACCGTAAGAGTTACCATGCCTAGAACTATGGCACACGTATTTAGGTGACCCACGTCATAACGTTCAATGAATTGTGATATGAAACTCCATGAAATCCCAACAGCTAAAAGTTAATTAATAATATTCAAAAGACCAACGAGCAGCAAACAAAGAGAAGACGTTCACAAGAGCAACGCGTCGGAATGCATTTAACAAGCACGTCTTTAACAAGTCGATATAAGGCACATTGAGGCTCTTATCTCAGCTAGCCTCGGCAGGGATACAGAGAAACCGAGTAGAATATTTACGACCGAAGCACCGTGCAGTCCAGTCACCGTGAGCAGGCCAGTCACCGTGAGCAGGCCAGTCACCGTGAGCAGGCCAGTCACCGTGAGCAGTCCAGTCACCGTGAGCAGACCAGTCACCGTGAGCAGGCCAGTCACCGTGAGCAGGCCAGTCACCGTGAGCAGTACGTATCTCTGAAGACACGTATTAGGTTTACGTGTTTTAGAAGAGGCCTTCCACCTCGCCGGTCTCGAGGTTGAGGTCGATGTCGTAGATGCAGGGTCGCGTGGGCAGCCCTGGCATGGTGCTCATCTGGAGGCGAGAGCAAAGGACTTCACTTATCTTAGGGCCTATAAAACGACAGACTAGTTCAACAGATATAAAGTGGCATGAAAAAAATGCGCACAACGAACCAGATCTTCTGCATTTTGAAGGATCAGAGCAAAACAACGTCGGTATCTTAAGGTCGGTAAACCATACACAAGCTTCAACGCAGTCACGCCAAATCTGTACAACAAAACAGATCACCTGGAATGCCGACTAACAGAACATCAAAAACAATTAAAATTAGCATTAAAAACAATTGAAATAGAAAAAAACCTAAGGAATTCGGGTACAGACGTTATATATTGAAGAAAAAATAATTGTTCGAAATCTTCATTTGATCAAGTTTCCAAAATGTTCAGCACCGGAATTATAGTGATTATGCTAGGCTTCACACCAGTAATTATATTCGCAGCGGCTTTGAACCAGAAGACAGGTTATAACTGACGAAGAACGGGCGATCGACGTATCGATCGACGTACAAAATTCAAAAGAGAAATTCCGAGAACAAATGTTCGATCGGAGTGAATCTTGTGGGGCATGAAGAACAACGAACATTTTTTTCGTAAAAATCTATTATTTGGTTATTGATTTGAATCTGTCTATCATATCGTATCTTGTATAGGCAAGCAATCAAACAATCGAGAAACTCGAAATGAACGAAATTTACCAGCCATAAACGAAGTAGCAGTTGAGAATTACAACAAATTATAATGTGAAGCTAGCAGTCGCGGACACGAGTAAGACAACCTTCAGGCACACAGCACACAATATCACTGCGAAATACTTTGGTTTACGTAATAATATTCAAATAAAATCTTAACAATACATTGCACAAACGGAAGGATATTTTATCGTCCAGAGTGAACATATTTTGTGTTTCTGTAACGGCCGCGTAACCCCGTTGAGCGTTACGGTTGGCGGTGTAACGGCCGTTGCGCCAACCACATATTAATATCATGCTAAGTGGAAAGTGAAGCAAAAAGGCATTTATTTTAAACATTATCGAGGCTCTGTGAAGCAAAAATATTTCGCAATAATATTGAGTGTCTAGAAGCTGTGTCAAAATATTGTGCAACCAATTTTGCAGGTCTAGGTTTACCTTTAGAGATGAAGATGTTAATACTTAATGTTGGTAACCCAGTTCGTTAGACCAACAGAAGTTATTGGTAGGTTTACATTAAAGGTAGTGCATAAGCATAACACAGGTCAAGAATTGTACAGAAGCCGTGTTGTACAGCACTTAGTGTTGATCAGTGGTCCATAAACACGGTACACCACACCAATTTAAGATTAATGAAGTGTTTAATAAGCTAAAATGGTTTAATTCCATGATGTTAATGCGGCGACACATTGTGAGGTGCGTGTTATTTTTATCAATACGGTATTAGTTCATTAAAACATTACCAGAGAAACCAAACGAAAACCAATAGAAAAATCCTGTATCCACGCATGAATATAGTAATTTTCATAACAGTCCGTAGACTCAATGGCTACAATTCGCTGAGAAGTATAAGATTGACTTCAACCGTACACTTGGAACAGCTTTACATTACTTCATTAATGGGATCTAGCCAGACAATGCTTGTGATATTAGCCAAGTAAGACAAAGAATATTTCAAGGCGTTAATGAAAATTGTGATCATAATAACAATAAATAACATATAAATTTGAAATAAAGAGGATGAGAAATCTTCTCCTGACAGAGAAGGAACTCTTTTGAATTGTATAAAACTTGTCAAGGATTTCTATTGTATAAAACTTGTCATTCATGGAAGGCTTAAGAATGAAGTTTGTAAAGAGAATTGTACCTACTGTAAATAAAGAAAGTTTGCTGGCAGTAATGTGAGAAGATGAGCTATTGCTATTTCATAATCAGCAGTTATCGAACAAAAAAACAGTGAAAGTTGATGTCAAATGGACAAGATACTACATCAAGTAAGATGAAAGAAGTAAGGACAAGCGAAGAGATAGGCAGGCGAAGAGATGGGCAGGCAGGGCACCTTGCACTGCATTAAGGTATCCTAATCTCTCTCTGCAAACAAGGCACACGAGAGCCACCTCAACATCGTGGTGCTAGGGTTCAACTGTAGAAGGCACTTAAAGTCAAGATGTTCATATGATATTTTGGCTCCCTAAACTGCTACGACCGTATCATTCAAGTTATCTAGACCACGCCAAGTGTAGTCTAGTGTAGTGGGGCTCATCTACGCTTGCATTTAATACCTTGAAAATTAAATAATAGCGAGCCTACTCTATCCGACTTACGAGCTGCAAAGTGATTTAGCTTATTAAGTAAACTTGGTACATCTTTCGTATGGATTCTGACAACACTAATTTATTTGCCTTCCAACCAAGTGTTTTGCGTCTACTTACAAATAATGGGATCTATGTTCGAGAAGCTTTAGTCGCACAGCATAGATGATAATATAGCACGAGACTATGTTAGTGATGACAAGATGTGCGTGGTGGCAGCTCTACCTGAGGGCGGCGGCGGCAGGGCAGTGGGAGGCGTCAGAGCTTCTACTTCACGAGACGTCTGAGCCAGTGCAGACCGCGGCTACTCGAGCTCTGAGCACACGGCCTCAGTTACTTGCGCTTCACTTGTTACTTCGGGGTAATGATGTTACTTATGGGGTAATGATGTTACTAAGGTTACTTAAAGGCACAAAAGTACTTCTGCACTAATGTTACTTCAGAGTACTACTCTTACTGTCAGGCAGCAATATGTAACTTCAGAGTACTAATGTTACTTCAAGGCACCAACGCCCCTTCAAAGAACCAATATTACTTCAAGGTATCAATGCTACTGCAAATCAGCTCTGTTACTACACAGCTAATAATTTTATGTGGATTATGTTAATTCAAGCAAGATCAGGAACGTTCTAACGCTCCAACAGGATCAAGGAGCCAGAAAAGCAGAGCCAATATTAGCAGAATTCATTGCGCACGTTTACTCGCATGCCCCAGAATGTTTTTCAGCGTCCGCGCGACTTAGGTTGAATGTTAAAAGCAAGGGCTGAAGTTAGCATTTAAATTTGGGGAATGATTGGAATTACGGTATGATTTAAAAACACACTATACATGTAATTTATGATTAAACCTGGAAGATAAGTATGTCTAAGCCCAGTAACTTACAAGCAGGAATTTTAGAAGCGAATAAAAATGGACAATTTTTAACAGTTTCACAGATCATATGAAGCACCCGGTGAAAAATATCAATAGTAAGGACGAGGCTAAACTGAGCACATAACATAATATAGTTACTGCAAACCGTGTATCACGCTGCGCATCTGTGTTAGTGACAATCGAACGTCATCTCTCGAGAAAAAATGAAATGCGTTCTTATTCAAGCTTGTTTGGTACGGAGTGAACTTCTGAGCCAACGATTGATGTGTGCAAGACAACATGTAGGAAAACCAAGAGTATATGGTCAATTATTTTTGTCAGAGCGATCAAATTATCAAATTCTTGTCTGACTCCATGAGAGAAGAATATTCTCCCGTCACAATATCAGGACGTGGTGTCATGCATTTAGCCAATGAAGGACTCCGGCTGACAGCACTCTAAATTAGGCGAACGGTAGATTGTCTTGTGATTGCGATAAAATTGGATCCGTTGGGTGAGAACGTGGTTGGCGTGAGCGTGAACGTCGAGAGCGTGGATGTCGTGAGCGTAAATGGCGTGAGCGTGGATGGCGTGAGCGTGGACGTCGTGAGCGTAGATGGCGTGAGCGTGGATGGCGTGAGCGTGGATGGCGTGAGCGTGGATGGCGTGAGCATGGATGGCGTGAGCGTGGATGGCGTGAGCGTCTTCACAATAGAATTTTAGTTACATTAAATTATGAATTTTGTAAGCTCTACAGTGTACGCTGCACTGACTGCTTGTTCTTTATGATACCAATTTATGAGCTGCACCAGAAATGTTGATACTCACGGTGCCGACGATGGGGTAGAGGAAGCCGGCGCCCACCGAGGCCCTCACTTGGCTGACGGGGATGGTGAAGCCTGTGGGGGCGCCCTTCACTGTCGGGTCCGCAGTGAACGACAGGTGCGTCTTAGCCATGCAGATGGGCAGGTCGTTGAAGCCCTGACAAAAAAAAACTCAGTTTAGCATTCAAACAAAAACTCCAGCAGTGTCCCAGGATGCAGACTGATGTCGCCAGTTCGTAATTCTGTTGATGCATTTAAAGTAAATATTTTTGCAGGCTTGAATGTTGCTAAAGCCTTGGAAGATGCGATTCATTTGAAACATTTAGGTTTGTATTCATGCTTACATTGGTGTGAGAAGTTCACGAGACGAAGACTTCTACTGACAATGAAATAAAAGCTTGGAAGAAGTTAAACGTCAATACGAAAGAATGTATTTTAAAAGAGAAATCAATAAAGTTTTACGTTTCAATTCTAACAACCTTCTAAAGATGAGCAGAAAATGAATATTGCTCACCTGCTTCTTGTAGCGATCGATTTGTTCCTGCGCCTCAGGCTCGATGGAAATGTCGGCAGCGCCGTAGATTTTCTGCGAGATCGAGCGGATCTTCTCCTCGATCGGGAGGGTGAGGTCATACAGAAACCTGAGGGAGTGAAGCGTGTGAGCAAAATTAAATTTAAAAACATATTTAGGAAACATTTTCTAGCAAAGTACGCATTAAAATCTTTTAACCCAACTGGATTCAGTGTTTCAAAGTTAAGAATTTAAGGCACAAATATAAAGCATTCACAAGAGCTGCCATGTGACCGGCACTACTGCTGTCTACACAAGCGTCACCTGAAGCTGTGATTGTCTTGCCCCTGGCACTGCTCCTGTACGGCCTCGGCCAGAGCCTTAGCCCCGCGGCCGCCGTCCCGCCAGTGTGTGCAGACCACGGCTCGCGCCGCCCCGCTCGCCTCCGCCTCACGCTGCACCAACGCGAGCTCCGCCTCAGTGTCAGTCCTGCTCGTGGCCAAAAAATTACGTTGAAAAAGACAGCGAGTTGTTATATTAATTAGAAGTTAGTGAAAACTGGACTTAATTACAATAAACGGATTATATGGGCAAAAACTTCATCACACCGTGTTAATTTGGTGTTCTACAGTGGCGCGCTAGAGCTGTAATTGCGATGGATAAATTGGGTCTCAATAAGAATTGTTTGTAAATAGTAATTGTGCACCTTAGAGCGAGAAAAGTGCACAAATAATACAAGTATTTTAGGTTCTTGGTTAGTAGTCCTATACCACATCACCAAGCAAAAAAGCTAAAAAAAGGCTTTCTTTCTTCCAAACTAATGTCTTACAAACGGAGCTGGCACTCTGCGACATGCTCGAGCAATTTACCGCACACACAATATTTTACGCCTACGACAAACATTGAAGGTTATTAATCAGCATGATTCAAGCTCACCAAACACAGCATAGGTTAATGCTTGACATGAACCTCACATCTTGACATAAAACAGAACATGATGCAAACTTGTAGATGAAAATGTCAGTTAAACTCACGCGAACTTGTTGATGGCAACCACCACAGGCACACCAAACAAGTTGCCGTTCTCGATCTGCTTCCTCAGGTTGCTGGCGCCTTTCTGGACGAGATCCAAGTTCTCCTGAACGAGGAAGATGAAGCTTCAAAATATCGCTTCTTGACTCCGAATAGAAACGAGAATGTTATCGCTAAATTATTGTCAGATTTTTTTATAATGAATCCAGAACGTATATTTGCTATCCTTTGTAGCAAGTAAACTAATAAGATGCTGCTCAAATTATAAAAAGGAAACGATTATTTTTGGTGAATAGTGCTGGCTAAGCATATAAAAAGAAATGAATATAAGAAATTAAGGATATTTACTGCCAAAAACATGAACGCTACTGAAGTTTTCTGCTAACGAGACACCAGACACAGCAGGATGCCTCTACTAACGAGACACCAGACACAGCAGGATGCCTCTACTAACGAGACACTAGGAACAGCAGGATGCCTCTCATAACAAACCTCAAGGTACTCTTTGGGAAGGGGCGTGCCTGGCAGGACCTTAGGTCCTCCGCCGTGCATCTTGAGGGCCCTGACAGTGGCGACGAGCACGACGCAGTGCGGCACCAGGCCGCTCGTCCTGCACTTGATGTTGAAGAATTTCTCCATGCCGATGTCCGCCCCGAACCCAGCCTCTGTCACCACGTATCCATCACTCCCAACCAGCTGCCCAATAGTAAGCGCTCAGTTTTGTTGAGCTGTCTTCTGCAAATATTAACGTTACTCCTCTACACACAAATATATATTAACAACAATCAATCCCAAGCAGATGCTACAACCTCGTAGTCAATCAATGAATTTCACAGCAGAAATGGAGGATCGGCAGGCAGACCTTGAGTGCTATTTTATCAGCGAGAATGGAGGAGTTTCCGTGGGCGATGTTAGCAAAGGGCCCCGCGTGCACGAAGACGGGCGTGCCTTCCAACGTCTGCATGAGATTGGGGCGGATGGCGTCCTTCAGAAGCACGGTGAGAGCCCCACTCGCACCCTGAGGTCAAGAACAAATAACAGTTGTGTGATAGGTACGGTATAACAAGTAAATGAACGTGATATGTTGTGCATCATACATTAAACTTGTTATATAATAATTTAAACATGAACAGATCCTCGGTGACAGGAATTATACCAGATCCTCGGCAGTGACAGGATTGCCAGCCGTGTCGCTGGCCACGACCATCCGTCCGAGTCGCGCCCGCATGTCCTCCAAGGAGGTGGTGAGGGCCAGCACCGCCATAATCTCGCTCGCCACCGTGATGTCGAACTGACATGACCGCGTCATGTTCTTCTCCGTCGCCGACTGCCCGATCGTGATCTTGCGCAGGAAGCGGTCGTTTGTGTCCAGCACTGAAATAGAAATGATACAATTATCTGACTGACTGATCGTGATGTTGCGCAGGAAGCGGTCGTTTGTGTCCAGCACTGAAATAGAAATAATACAATTATCTGACTGCCTGATCGTGATCTTGCGCAGGAAGAGGTCGTTTATATCCAAAACTGAAATAGTTTTTCTTGATGTTAACCACCAAAACTCAATAAATAATTTTAATGACCAAATGACCACGTTGTCCTAAATTGGTACGAATTAATATATACTCAAAGTTAATATATAAATCTCAAACATTTTTTGCAGGCTCTTGAGCAGAGAGCGGACATTTATGACTGTCACTGAAACAGTTTGTAGTTGACATTGAAGTTCAGGATTAAGCTTTCCAATTTAGAAGAGGATAAATATTTCCAAATACTTCAAACTTCTGACTTCCACCTGTTCCTTAGGACTCTTTAAAATTCCATTAAACCGTTAAACGTAGATGGTTAATAATATATTTTTTGTCTATTGGTTACCTCTCTGCCAAGTGATGGTGTTTGTATCAATGTTGAGGCGTACAAACTTGTTGATCTCCTCAGGGGTGAGAGAATTAGGATCTTTCTTGTCGATGCCCAGACGCTCAAGTCTCGACAACTGAAAGAATGAATAAACGGTTGAAAAATTTATAAGTAAATTGTTTAAAAATAACATAATCACAGGAGCAATAATGCAGCAAGAAATGATAGCTCTATAGTTTAACGACTCTATTCATTTACAAATACGCAATAGATCAAACCTGTATCTTTGAAAAAGCTCGCTGTCCCTTCACTGCAGGCACCAAGCGTCCATAGAGCGCCTCGTCCGACTGAGTGGCTTCGTGGAAAATCCTGGCGTCAATTTGAGCCGCGAGCAAATTGTTGGCTGCAGTGATGGCGTGGATGTCGCCCGTGAGGTGGAGGTTGAACTCATCCATAGGGATCACCTGGGACCAGCCACCCCCAGCAGCGCCACCTGCAGGTCAGCCACACGTTCGATGTAGATTATAGTTCGGACAATCTTACTGCTTCATCAATTGGTATACTTATTCCTTACTGCTTCATCAATTGGTAAACTAAACCTTAATGCTTCATCAATTGGTGAACTTATTCCTTACTGCTTCATCAATTGATAAACTTGTTCCTTACAGCTTCAACAATTAGTAAACTTGTCCTAAGAATGTGGTGTCTGAAGAGAGGTCGGAGGAACAATCTTGCTGCTACAGTAAAACGCGGTACTGCATGGCGATACCAGCACAAAGTGGCAAAGCCCTGCAAGGCGTTAACAGCACAGCACGCCACTGCAGGTATAAAGTTATTACCTTTGATGCCGAATGTTGGCCCCTGGGACGGCTGCCTGACGCACGCAAAGACGTTCTTGTTGCAGTGAGCGCCCAGGGCTTGGCACAGTCCGATGGTGGTGGTGCTTTTGCCCTCCCCCAGCGGCGTTGGGGTGATGCTGTTAATACAGCACTAAAATAGTACATAAACACACGATCCATTGCAACAAATTTTGAGCACCTGTTATAAATATGGACGAGCACGAGACGTATATAATATACTACTTTCAAGAATCAGTTCAGAATCGTCTGTGCAGAGCTTGCGATCTGATTAACCCTCCTGTAGTCATCCGGCCCAAAATGGCCCGCATTTCCATTAAGAGACCGGAAATTAAGACTACAGGAGGGTTAAGATCAATTGAGATCATCGCGAGGACACGGGATAGTATTCCATGTAAAAAAAGCTAGCTAATGAAAAAATTTCAGACAAAATGAATGATACGAATATGTATTAATCAACAACAACCAACATTGCACTCTCCACGATTTTAATTTAGCTAATTATTGCGATGAAGACACTGACCCAGCGACGACGATGTACTTGCCGTCCTGCGCGGCCTGCAGCCTCTTAAGCACAGCGAGGTCCACCTTAGCCTTCTTGCTGCCGTAGGGCGCCACCTCGCACGCCTGTAGCCCCACCTCCGTCGCCAGCTCCAACACGTCCTTAGGCGTCTGCGAGCGCGCGATCTCGATGTCACTGCGGGCGTTACAAACATTAACTTGTGTCATGTTTAGATAAAAAACATGGTGGGCCCGTGCTGAGATAGCATGAAACGTGGTGGGCCCGTGCTGAGATAGCATGAAACGTGGTGGGCCCGTGCTGAGATAACATGAAATGGGGTGGGCACGTGCTGAGATAGCATGAAACGTGGTGGGCATGTGTTGAGATAGCATGAAACGTGGTGGGCTCGTGCTGAGATAGCATGAAACGTGGTGGGCACGTGCTGAGATAGCATGAAACGTGGTGGGCACGTGCTGAGATAACATGAAACGCGGTCGGCACGTGCTGAGATAACATGAAACGCGGTCGGCACGTGCTGAGGTAACATGAAACGCGGTCGGCACGTGCTGAGATAGCATGAAACGCGGTCGGCACGTGCTGAGATAACATGAAACGCGGTCGGCACGAGCTGAGATAGCATGAAACGCGGTCAGCACGTGCTGAGATAGCATGAAACGTGGTGGGCACGTGCTGAGATAGCATGAAACGTGGTGGGCACGTGCTGAGATAGCATGAAACGTGGTGGGCAAGTACGAGTTAAAATAGCAGGGTTCAAGATAACCTATCATAGCACAGGTGCTGACCTGGGAGTGTGGTCCTGGGGCTGGATGTCGAGGTACCGCATGCTCCACTGCGAGGACCGCAGGGAGGCGGCGGCGCGCTCCCCTGCCAGGACGGTGTTCTGCATGAGCATCGCAACGGTCATGGGGCCAACGCCCCCCGGCACGGGGGTGATTACTGACGCCACCTGAACAGGGCAGGGCAAACTTCACACTCCAGGGCCTTCAATACTCAGCTGTCTTCAATACTCAGCTGTCTTCAATAACTTAAGCTTTCTCAAATATGTTAAGATTTACTAAGAATTTGTAACTTCACTTAGTCGTTCACTTATTACTCAGTACTATACGTCATTTTAAAGACTTTTGCATGTGTCATGGTTATTACCTACCATAATTTTTACACCTTGTAATACCACCAGTAACAAAGGGATAAAAAATCATTAATTATCTTATGGACAGTTAAGAGGAATAATAACTTGGCTATTCCATATGCGGTCAAAATTATTCAATACAATTAAAAAATATAACTCAGTACTCACTGCGGTGAGTGACATAGAGCGCATTTTCTCGTCGACGAAAATGTGAAGTCACGGACGGACAGACAAACAGACAGACAGACGGACGGACATGGCGAGCACAATAGTGCATTTTTTCCATAAATAAGAAAATGCTAATAAAAAGCCCAAACTTTCACGGGTTATACAGAGCTGCGGTTCAGGACAAGTGGCATAGTACAAGGCAAGACATCAGGTGCATGAACACGAGGTATGGAGCAAGCAGCTCAGCTCACCTCAGACACTTCCTTGAAATCCACGTCACCCACGAGCTTCTGGCCTGATTTTTTTGTGGCATCTTTGGAAGAAATAAATAAAATTTTACTCTCAAAGTAAATTGAAACCATAAGAATTGTCTCAATCTGATATCAATATTATATATATATAAATCAGTTCGTTTTGACAGCCAAGCAGTCACTGCAACTGTTTTCATATATTCAATATATTATCATATATACCGGTATACTATATACCGGTATTTAATATATTATATCAAATATAATAAATATATTTTATAATATTCAATAATATTCAAACTCAGGGAGAGCGAAAATATTTGTATCAATATGAATAGTAATTGATTATATGAGCACAATCGCACAACTCACGCTCACTGCAGTCAACTGCTCACCTGGTGTGGCGTTGATGCCGCAGTCAACTGCTCACCTGGTGTGGCGTTGATGCCGCAGTCAACTGCTCACCTGGTGTGGCGTTGATGCCGCAGTCAACTGCTCACCTGGTATGGCGTTGATGCCACAGTCAACTGCTCACTTGGTATGGCGTTGATGCCGCAGTTAACTGCTCACCTGGTATGGCGTTGATGCCGCAGTCAATAACGACAGCTCCAGGCTTCACCCAAGATCCCTTTACCAGCTCCGGTTTGCCGATGCCCACCACCAGAATATCGGCCGTGCGAGTCTGGCCGGCAGAAACGAGTAATTTGGTGTCAGTAATGTTCCTGTGATGCAGGCATATTTGTTCATTTCAGCACCCGAACCAGTTAAGCCATCACCTAACAATACCTAGCTGGTCTTATCTCTAAATCTTCTCAATAATTTGGCGAGTTAAAATTGCTAAATTTTGACACAATCTCTAGCACACTTATGATGTAGATATATATGTTGTCTCTATTTGAATGATTTCTTTTGCTGGAACCATTTTATGAAAACGTGAGTACCTATATCATTTTCTTTGTAAGAGACAACCATTTCAAAACTTGTTCACAACATTGACAGTCATTGATGTACAAATCATCAAATCCTTGATGTTTTACCGCAAAGCAATTATTAATTGGAAACGACAGTGTATTTTCCCACAAAATTGTTAATGTCTCATTTTCAAAAATTGGCCAAAAAGATCAATATTGAAAATTTATTGAAGAAACGAACACATGAGCATCACAAAACAGTCTGTCCACCAAAACAACCAACCACTTGCGAGAGGTCAGCAGTCCTGGAGTGGCATGTGGTGACGGTGGCATTGTGCCACTTGAGCAGCTCTGCCATGGGGGTGCCCACTATCTTGCTGCGCCCCAACACCACCGCTGTGGCGCCCTCAATCTTTGCTCCACTGCGTCTGATGAGCTCCATGCAACCGTTGGGCGTGCAGGGCAGGAAGCCTGACGTGAGCATTCCGTGTGACAGCATACCGGCGCTTGAGGTCGTGAGGCTGCATGAGGTGTGCAATGTTAAACACAATCCAAAAAAAAGATGTCAATGGACATCTGAAAGAAGATAGTCTAATGTTCTTGAATGAAATAATTTCAAGCAAGTCAAAGTCTGTTGATGAAATTTGCAGCATGTTAAAATAATAACAATTAGCAGTTTACCCATCAACATCCTTTGAGGGAGAGATGGTATCAAGCACAAGATCTGAGTCTATCTTGTTGACAGAGTCAAGCGGTACTTGGACGATCATTCCATGGATGCTGGGGTCTGCATTAAGCTTCTTCACTTCATCCACCAACTGCAATGATTAATGCATACTGTCATGTCAAGATGCTTAATGTGTGGCATAAAAGCAAGCAAGTCAAGCATCAAACAAGTAAATGTTTTTAATAAGCTAAAGAAGCAATCGTACATATATATTAATGTCTTCAGGTTTAGTAACTAGCAAATAAATACTGAGCTAAGCTACTAATGTTTCACAATTTCAGTTACAGCAAATTTAGCATGAAGAGAGCTATGAAAAAAAAATTAAAATTTTTTCTTTCTTCAACATACTTGTTTTGTTTTCCAACAGTTTAAAGTTAATTTTTTTTAGGAACTGACTGACTGCAATTATTTCCAAATGATACTTGAAATGAAGCCAGTAAGTTTGTATTAGTAAAGAAAACTTTAAATTCAAACTTTATGCCTTGTCTTTCATTGAAATTCAAGGCAAAGTCAGTAAATTCATTTAGTATCACAGGATACTAACAACAAACAATTTTCTTACAGCATAAACATTAAAATTAAATGAAGAAACTAAGAATAAACTTTAACCACAAACAATTATGCAAGGTAACTTTGAAGGAATTGAAGTTTTACTTGCGACTGTGTTATGGTGTTAGGAAAGCAAACATGTTGTGCTTTAATTCCAATTTCCTCAGCAGCCTTGATCTTCATACGGATGTAAACATTGCTGTCTTCCCGTGATCCAACCTGTAAAATAAGCAGCTATGTAGATGGCCTTTCCCTCATGCATGAAGTTTGTAGTAAAACAGTTCTTCAAGTAGAGATATAAAGCTTAGGTTCATAAAATGGTTATGCAAGTGAATGAAAAATATAGGTATACATACTAAGCAAATAATAATAAAGTGGGATAAAATAGCCTATTCTGGGTCATATGACATCTAAAATTGCAGTGATATTATTATGCTATATATAGAGATTATTATGCATTTATATAGAATTTTTGCACATTAAATTTCTTCAGTGTCAACTGTCAACCAATACTAATCACTATTACTGCCAGTCTATCTAAAGCAATAACAAAGTATGAATGTATGTGTGGTGGTAGCAGAGGTTTGGTGAGGGGGCAGGGAAGCTAGGAGGGAATGTATGTAAAAAAATTTAACAATCTTAAAAATATCTGGTTTGCCACTACGACCAGCAGCCACCGCTGATGGCAGCAGAGGTTGGGGCTGTTTGGAGTGAGAGCAGTGGTGCTGGGTGATAGTGCCTGAATGATGGTAGCAGATGGGGCTGTTTGGAGTGAGAGCACCTGGTATGGCCTGAATGATGGTAGCAGAGGTAGGGGCTGTTTGAAGTGAGAGCAGAGGTGATGGGTGATAGTGCCTGAATGATGGTAGCAGATGGGGTTGTTGGAGTGAGAGCAGTGGTGCTGGGTGATAGTGCCTGAATGATGGTAGCAGATGGGGCTGTTTGAAGTGAGAGCAGTGGTGCTGGGTGATAGTGCATGAATGATGGTAGCAGAGGTAGGGGCTGTTTGGAGTGAGAGCAGAGGTGATGGGTGATAGTGCATGAATGATGGTAGCAGAGGTAGGGGCTGTTGGAGTGAGAGCAGAGGTGCTGGGTGATAGTGCATGAATGATGGTAGCAGAGGTAGGGGCTGTTTGGAGTGAGAGCAGAGGTGCAGGGTGATGGTGCATGAATGATGGTAGCTGAGGAAGAGGCTGTTTGGTGGGGGGGGGCATGGGTACACTGGAGAGAATGTGGGCTAGAGAAAACTCTTCTGAATAATAGAAATTACTTGAACAATAGCAAGTCCAGGTTGGAAGCCAGGGAACTCTTCACGTAGTTTCTTGCAACGATCTGCCAGCTGATTTCGGACATCTCTGAAAAGTCGAAGCTTAGTTTATTAGATATTCTATTAGCATTCACTGATCATGTCTACTAACTGTAACTCTACATTGTTAAGTGCAACTGTGCAAGAGGTATAGATATTGCATGCAAACATTTTATTCTCAAGACTTATGGTACTATATGCTCTGAAAGTTTTTGAAAACAATCATAGACAGACAACAGTATGCCTGATATAATTAGATACAAGGGTAGTTAGGAAGTATTACTACCTAACTACCCTTGTACGTAGTACCTATACATATTAGAGTTAGAAGCCATATTACTTCTAAAACTAATAACTGGTTCAAATTTCCATACATGAAAATCTTTTTCCAAACTAGAAAATTGAGCAGAAGGCCAGCAGCTATCTGTGAATGAGACAAAAATACCTATGATAGGTGATTGCAGAAAATTTTATCTTTATCCATAGCAACATCAACATGCCAATATGACTCTTGCTCAATTAAAAAATAATTTCATAATAAAACTGCCAAAAATGATGTGTTTTACGGTTTGCCAGCAATTTTTTTTAAATCAATTCTGAAACATTTGTTTCAAGTTTTAACTCACAACTTTTAGAAAGTTCTGCCTGATTTTCTACCTACATTGGTGCAGAATAACTGTATAATTATCATGAAAACTTTTCCTTCAATTAAAAGCTTTTTTATTGAAAATAATGAGCTAAGTAGCCTAAAAGCAATTAATTTGAAGAACCTAGATCATTGGTGATTTGGTCATTTGGTGTGTCTGCTGTCTGCAAGCCACCAAGCAGAAGTTGAATTAAAAAAATTATATTATTAATTTGAAGAACTTAAATCATTGGTGTGTCTGCAAGCCACCAAGCAAAAAATAGAATTAAAAAAATTAATAAATTAACAGGTGAAGTTGTGAAGATATCATAAAATTATAATATTATATGTATAAATGTATGTACCTACATTGTACAAACAACAAAAAAAAAAAAATGCATAACCTAACAGTGGTCATATGGAGGTAGGCCTAGGTACTATTCATATATCAACTAATAATCAACAGAAACTGAACTTAATGAAGTGAAACTAAGTGCGGCACTCCAATACAGACTCATTACAGATACCTAAATTAATGTTTAATGTAAGAACCACTGAACCACCAGTACTAAAATTCCACCTTGCGGCACTAAGCGCTTTACTCCTTAACAATAGAAAGGACATAGAGACAAATTTTCAACTAACTAATACTTTATATAAGTCTAATTTTAATTGTTGAGTGAAAGGTGCAAGCATAAAACTTCAAAGTGGTTAGGTACTTTATAGAAACTGAGCAAGGTAGTGTACGTATTTTAAGCCTTTAAGAAGTTCAGTTTTTGCCTCAAATAACAATGTTGGGTAGAAAAAGTGGTCTTGGTGGATCGAAATAATATATGAACCTTCGAAATTAGAATTCCATCCTGTCCTCAAGTTCATTTTTGAGTTCTATAAGTAGACCAGTAAAGTATCTTGGATACCAGAATTATCATACATAAGAAATCTATTACAATCTTGAGTAAATGAGAAAATTAAAAATGAACTGATTCTAAAAAATCACTGGTTTGCCACTATGCCTAGGCCTATGTTAGTATGTACATTCACTACATTGTACAAACTACAAAAACAATGCATAACCTAACAGTGGTTGTATGGAGGTAGGTACTATTTAGTATTCCTAATTTCATATAGCCTATCAAGTTATCAACTAGCTTAATAATCAACAGAAACTGAACTTACTGAAGTGAAACTAAGTGCGGCACTGGCACTCCAAGTCAAATAGGTACAGATAAATTAATGTTTAATGTAAGAACCACTGAACCACCAGTACTAAAATTCCACCTTGCGGCACTAAGCGCTTTACTCCTTAACAATAGAAAGGACAAAGAGTGAGACTTCTTAAATGTTTAAATTAAGAAAAATATGGTTTAGTTCAAACTGTTCAATGTTAAATATGGAATAGGTAGGCCTACCGTAACAGTAACTCATCAAAAATTTATAAACAAGGCATTAGCATAAAACAAAAAAATCTTAACTTACTGAGACACTTCTTTTCCAGATAACAGTTGGGCCATTTTTTGAAATAAGTTGAAAAAGTTCTAAGATGCAAAAGTATTTAAAGTCAAAACTTTTATCCAATACCTAATCTTATTTCGCAGTTGAGTTTTGCCGACCACCCAAGGAGACCGACCGGCGTCCGGTAACTGGAAAATGTGAGGAATGGTTTTTAATTACGATAACTCCCGTAGGTACTTTATACACAGGGAAAGTATTATCCGATAAAGGAAGAGGCAAGTATTTTCCACTTCGAATATTGTTTTAAATAGTTGAAGAAAATGTATCAATTTGAATTTTGAAGCATAAATTTTATCAACAATAATGGCTAAATATAACAAGGAATTATCCCAAATTTGAAATAAAAAGTACTTGTCTTGCCCTACGGGGAGCGCAGCCGTGGGTTACAAAATTAACTCGTAAACAGGCCCTGGGCCCAACGCCAACCATCAGCATGCAATATCTACACATAGCCTCAGATCAATGAGCTGTGGGTAACTCCGGCTAACAGTAAATCCGCTTTGCACAACACAGCCACTGCTTCACAGCGCCGCAGCCCAACTGGCCGGAACGTAACAGGCCTTACCGCAACAGGCGCAGGTTAGGTTAGGTTAGGTTACGTTAGGAGTAGCCTGTTGCCGTAGGGCCTGTTGCGCTCACGCCAGTTGTGCTCCGGCGCTGTGAACGCCTGTGACTGAACGGCGCTGTTGTGGTGGGCGCTATGTGTCGATAGCCGTGAAGGTGCCCGGCTGCGTTACGCTCGGGAAGGTATATGAATCGCACTGTGGACTTGGGCTATGCTGACATCTAGCTATCCACCCTATGAATCGCACTGCGGACTTGGGCTATGCTGAATTTTAGCTATCCACCCGTCCTACCACTATTGCTTAAAGTTTTCCCTGTGAACAAGCACTTTCAAGAAACGGTTTCCGTTCTGAATTTAAAAGATTCTGTTAGATAATCTTAACCTAGAGATACAGGAATGGTGCTCCACCAGTTTCTACCATAAAGATAGCATTTTCACATCAAATTATTGTGATGTCGAGGCTGAAGAATAGGCCTGATGTGGCCTGTCGCACATTTCTGTCCTCTGACCGCAAAACAGCTCCTCTGGCCGGATATTTTCAAAACTGACGATAGTTATTTTTAAATAGCTTCTATACTTCCATCAGGTTCTTTCTCTAGTCTGTTCTTAAACGCATTCATACTAGGAGCGTCAACGATGTTATCAGCTAAGTTGTTCCATAGTTGCAATATATAAGGTTGACCCACTAGGGTTTCCGTCTTTCAGTTCAGCTTTCTTGTTACGTCACTGAGATCGAGAAACGTCATAAAAAACCGTCATTCCCATGACGGATTGGTTGACTGGTTTGATCGCATTTCGGTGATTGGTTAATGCCCCTGGCGTCACTGAGATCAGTGACGCCACAGGCGAACAACAGACTACATACGCAAAAATGAGCTTCTCATGGGTCAACCTCATACTAGTTCACCCGTGAGTTGCTCCACATGGTGACTCGAAGCGACAAGAAGTGGTGTCGTGTCGAAGAGTTGCAACGCAGTTTTTTTTCAGTTAATAGCCGTGGCTCCTGGTGTTGGTTCTTGTTTCAAATTTTAGTAATCCTTCTGTGACCTTGTATAAACAATGAGTATACATGTATAATTCAAAGAGGTCACTGCGCAAACGTCAATTTCAGAGACTTGGAAGCTTCATAATTTTTAATCATTCTTCATAAGACTTGCCCATCAAGCCTGGAATTATCCATGTTGCAGGATTCTGAACACTCTCTACTAAATTTTTGTCCTTTTCATTCGATGACCGGACGGAGTTTCCGTTAATACTGACACGTTGTCGTCTGACATGTTTAGCGTAAATGATGTAATATGATAGCTAATGTACTCCTAGTAGCGTAAATGATGTAATATGATAGCTAATGTACTCCTAGTAGCGTAAATGATGTAATATGATAACTAATGTACTCCTAGTGCGCTATGTTATGCTAGTATTAGATAATTTAATGTGAAATTAGTTGATTTACATAAAGGGGTAGGTTATTTTCTAACAAATGTAAACCGCAAACTTGCACCCCCGAATCCGATTCTTCTTATGCTTTAATAATTAATTTATTAAATGTTTGCGTTGACGGAAGTCGCTGGCGGTAGTAGAACTGCGACGCTCATATGTAAAAATATAAAAATAATATAGGTACAACTTTTAACGCTTCACTGACTTGATCGCCACTGTTTTGACTTGAAGAGATCGGTTGACTCTTTGAGTGTTAACACAATATTTTGTCATAGTTTGACTTTGTGTGAGCGAGAGAAACTGATCATTTAAATTTATTTCGAGTTCTATATCTGATACCATGCCATATGGGATCAAATTAGCGTCAATGCGATTCAACTGCAATTTTAATAAAGACTAAAATGATGGCACTATTCCATGGCATTTTACATCCGATTAAATGGAAGATTAGTAATGTTGTTGCCGGAAGGCATCTGACCTTTTATCACTCAACCAGTCTGTGTTTTAACTCATTATTTTTCAGTAACGTTTAACTCAATTTGATTATTTCCATTTTAGTTCAGAGTGATTTATTTGCACAACTAACGACAGTCGCGTCCAATTCAGTTCCGCCATTTAGTAACTTCGATATTATAGAATATAATTTTTGAGGATTTAATACTTGGTTTGATACATTGAAACTAATTTGTTCCGCTTGCATAGAAAATATTCGGCAATATTTTCATTTGTCTTCGCAGATTTGAAGTCATTGTCTTGGATCGCCAAGTAAAATAAGTTCAATGGAGCCTACGACACCACGAATCTGCCGAAGCCACTGTAGTTTAAAGTAACATACAGTAACTTAATCTAAGTCTAGTACATGAAATCTTTAAATGATAATGCATATAATTTCGGTATGAACATTTATTACTCAACAACGTTTTCAATATCATAGGAATCACATCATAGAAACATATCAATTTAAGAGAAAATGTGACTTAATAGAACCAAATCAATTCCAATGCTATTGAGTTTTACTCTGTGTTCCAAAAGAGAAGAATGCAGCGGCAGGCTCGGCGGAAGAAATACTTTTGTTCGCCGGAGGTCGGCTGTAGCTCGACGCCGCTCCATCATTGCCGGTACGCGACCAAAATTGTTAGAGCCACGCCAACTTTATGGCCTCAAATGTAGCCCAAGTTCGTTTTATTACTCTGCCAGTCATTTATTCATCTTTATGAACTCCTTACTTCACCTTTTTCTCGGAGTTGGTTCACTATGTTAACGAGTGATTTTGTGCAGCAATGACCAGTCATGTATCAGCAGCTCTGCGGACCACGATGGTTGAAATGCCGAGAGAGGGAAGAATCGAGGGCATTAAACTTAAAATTATTGTTCACATATTCGTTCGAGAAATTTGATGGTGAATACATGAATCAAGGAGAGGGCGCGTTAGCTATCTGGTAACTGCCTAGTTATTTCTCATCCGTAATGTCATTCTTTAAAGGTGGAGTATTTACTTAGGTCCCAGCTATTAATTGATAACTGTTGTGAGTTTTCAGTTTAGAATCCTCCCATTCAAAAGTTTTTGGCAGAAGTGACCGATGATCGGACAGCGTGAGACAAACTTATGGCCGCCCCATCGTACCATTAATAAATGTTCATCACTGTAATTGGAGAATGTTTCGACCGGGCTCTTCTATCGATCTCAAAATTCCTCGTCGACGTTCGCGTATCTTTCATGAACTTTCATGATCACTGTTTGGCTCTTCAAGCCAGAATCTGCGTGTCGCATTTTGCGCATTCAATACCGAGCAGCACTCGACTAGAGGATTACTTGCCCATGTCTCCGTCGAACGTGCTCGCCTTTGTAGGAAGGCGTCAATGAACGTGCACGCTTTTCATTTCAATTATTTATTCCTGCGTTTAATCAAAGTTTCCAAACATGAAAAAATTCTTTTTATTGTTCTGCTTTTACTCTACATTTGTTTGTGTTTCGTGGTCATGCATGCCCATCAATTCGTAGGTTACACACATCGAACCTCAGTCGTCTAGTATCGAGGCCAAAGACTCATTTCTTATATACTGTTTGTGAATATACTTTTTTTCTGTTTTGCCCTTTTCAGTTCTTTCCTCTCGTGTGAAGCGATCAGGAAACACTATTATCAAACATTGCTTTTGGACAGTTTTAATTTTACTAAATCTCACAGCTCTCATGACAAGCCAACTTTCTGCACTAGCAAAGTCGCCAAAGATGTTCCGTACATTTCACACGTCATCGGGGGAGGCCTCCACATGCCACACGAAGCCTCGGCGTGACCAGCTTCAGTTGACCAGACCCTCGTCGCCAGGCAGGCAAGATGGCAAGACATAGCGACATTGCCGCGTCAACTCTTCCAGGAATTCTTGCGAAAACTTCGGCAACAAGGGAACACTATTGCAGATCAGTTCGTACGAGTAGTTATAGTTATCGTAGTTGCGTAATTTTCGTAGTGCCGTTTGAACGAAATCGGGTACACTCTTATCGTAACCCCTTATGAGCAGTTACCGGTGCACTGAAAGTTTCTTTACTATCCTTGCCAGGTTCCAAACGAGAGTCGTGCGCGAATTTCCCTTGGCTAGCTTGTGACAATCGAAAATTTGCCAGAATAATATAGCAGTTTTTAGTTGAACATTGAAGTCTGGTCAAATTGCAGATTTCACGTTCAAATAGCAATTTATTCACTTATATCTGTCCGTTAATAAAGTTAAATGAATATACTATCCATCTAATCACTGAAATGTTTCTATTAACTTAGCAAAAACATTCCGAAGTTAAAACCAATCAACAATATCACTGGACGCGGCAATGAAGAGTGCTCATCCTTCACTATCTATATTCGTATAGGTTGATCTGAGCACACATCGTTGTCCCTATCGCCGTGGCTGCGATATTATAATGAGGCTTTCAACTGCAGGGGAGGGCGGCCGTATTGCTGCAATGAATGTGCAAGCTCTTCGCTGGCAATCATCAATTGCCGCAATAAATTCGCTGAAGTGCCGCCCTCGCTTCTGCACAGAAATAAGGTCTAATGTGAAAAAGTTTGAACTGAAATCTTCCCTAGAGTATCAGGTGCGATAAAATTTTATGCATGGCGATAAAAATTAAACAAA